TTATGCCACAGGCCCAGTATAAAAACTCAGAAATCTGTAATTAACCTGTCGCAAATCAGTGGAATACAGCCGAAACGTTTTTCTCGTTCTCAAAAGGCCCAAGACACAAATATCAGCCTTCCCTGTTCCCAGTGGACGTGCTAGCACACACTTAGTGCCCATGCTGTGGCGTGGCCCATTCACATCGCTGTGTGTATTCTGTAACTGATGTGAGCAGCCTTTTAATCTCAGTCAGTTAATCTGAGCATAACTCTTCTAGCTGTTGTCCTATTCCTCCACCCCTGCTTGATCCAGGCTCCTAAACTCAGGTCTGAAAAAGATCAACTTATTTTTGCAGAGCTAGAACAAGGCGACATCCCGACCTTTTACACTTACGAAGAAGGATTGTCGCATTTAACTGCGGAAGGTCAGGCCACCCTGGAGAGGTTAGAAGGCATGTTAGCCCAGTCCGTCAGCAGCCAGTACAACATGGCCGGAGTGAGAACAGAAGACTCGATAAGGGAGTTTGAAGGTAAGAAATGCCCTTTTTTTTTTTCTTTTTTTTTTCTGAAGAATGTATGAAAGCAGTGGTTCTCCAGTCTGGCTAATCCATAAACACCAGGACTGTGCGAGCGTCATGCCGTGGGTGATACCTTACCACCTTGTGTGCCTCCACGGCCGTTTTATCTTTGTTCACGAGCACAGGTTATAAAAATGCCTGTGGCCCTACGGGCAGCATATTGCCTGCCGCGGTTTGAGGGCTGTTATGTTAAAGAATGAGGACTGCAGCGTTAAGAATTCTTGATTCTTACTGGTGTGATTTCCTGGAAAAGTGGTAGGGTGAGGTTGATGTAGTGTTTAAAAAAAGTAAAATTAAACTTGTCAGTCTGCGCTGGGATTCGGAAACAATTTCTACTCTAATCAGGTAATAGTATTTTTCTCGACAATATCCTAAATTGTAGGTTAATAATTCTTTTTACAGAGTTCACTGTGAATTCAGAATCATTGAAATGTACTGGAGCAGATTAAAAAAAAAATATTTTCTGAAGGATGCTGTCTCTCAATGCTGTTGGTTGTTCAAACATGTATTTAAGGAGTAAGGTTTCTTTTTGTCAGGGAAAAGCCCAGTCTCTCAAATTTTGCCTTTTCTGCTTGCTCTTTTCACTGGAGCAATACATGGACTGGGAGAGGAACAGGGAAGTAGTGGCCCGACATCTCTGAAGGATGAAAACCGATGCAGTTGAGGATTTCTAGCTGTCAGCTTGCCTAGAATAGTCAGCAGAATAATAACTAATCTGTTCTGATCCACATGGATGATTTTTTAATCTTTGCTTTGTCAGCTGTTTACAGGTTCTCTTTGTTCCACAACTTTGAATAAATTTATTTTAATGTAAAGTTAACCCTAGGTGATAGACTCCTGTTTTAGCAGTGCCCTTCATCTGAAAATTTTGTCAGGTTTCTGAACCCCAAAATTTTGAAAACTAAAATAAATTGAACAGCAAGTATGTCACGTGTCTCAAAGCCATCTTCACCCATTTTATTTGCCTTCCTAATCTTATTTGTTATGGTTCTGCTTCTTGGTTTGCTACAATTATTAATATCCCCAGGGCTACTCAGTTTCAGAATTCTGTTGGGTTTTGACGTTGTAGCATAGAGCAATTGTTCCCTTTTTCAACTTTATGATGGCTGAGAGTGGTTTCAGAACAGGACCCAGCCTCTTTCTGTTACAGCATAATTTCGGCTATTAAAAGGAATCCTGCCATTTGTTACACCAAAACTACCTCTAAAAAATGAAATAGTTTAAATACGGTATTGAAGTCTTTGAATAAGGTAGGGTGAGATGAGGTCGTAGGGAAGAGGTGATGTCTTTAAGTGACTGAGTGATGGAGCTGGAATAAGCCCACGAACTTGTGAGCACATCAGCTTCCTTAGGCCGCTTTCAGAAGTTCAGCAAAGGAGTTTTATGCTCGGGCCACCTCCTGTCAGCAGAGGGCACTCGCTCTCTGTCTCGTGAGAACGTCATCAGCTGGTGGTGGTACATAGGGTTGGCTGTTGTTTTTCAGATGGGATGGAGGTGGACATAGCACCAGTAGTTGCGGGGCAGTTTGAAGACGCAGAAGTCGATCACTGAGGAGGACATACACTGCTGTAAGTTCTTCTGTCTTCCAACACCGATGCTTTTCCGTCCTGCAGAGCCTTCTGTCTCTGGAGTTTGTGTAATGCAAATAATCCCAGATCTCCTACGGGAGGTGTCTTGTGATATATGGTGGTGAAACACTGGAACAGGTTGCCCAGAGAGGTGGTGGAGGCCCCATCCCTGGGAACATTCCAGGCCAGGTTGGACAGGGCTGTGAGCAACCTGATGTGGTTAAAGGTGTCCCTGCTCCCTGCAGGGGGGTTGGACTGGGTGACCTCTAGGGGTCCCTTCCAACCCAAAACATTCTATGATTCTATATCAGGGTGATGGTGATTTAGAGAAGGAACAGGTAGCTGTATTCATCACAAGTATGGAAAGATGTTCAATGATCTGTCCAAAATTGCCTATCCGCGTAAACCATCATGCCGTGTGGGTAACCTGTGTGGACTTGCCTGTCTGGAAGACGTGTCAGCCCTTTGGCAGATTTAAGAATTGTCTGATCTCAAAGACTCTTAGATGCTGATGTATAAATGGTGGAGCTGTTGCTGGGAAGTTACTGTCCTTAGTATCCCTTATTTCGCCCGTAGTGTGCGAGATTTCCTAGGCCTTTCAAGGGGGCAGAACGCAGCGCCCCAAGTCCATCTCTTTGCTGTAAGTGGAGCTGGAACAGTTCCTGGGAAAGTTACCAAGCGATCTGGATGGGATTGTTGTCAGAAGTGCACAACTTAAGAGACAACACCCTGCTTCGGTGGTTGTGCCAGTGTGCCCCCTCGCCTACCATCACCTGTCCTGTGATTCCAGCCCTGCCTCAGCAGCGCTTGCTAGTGCAGAGTTTGCACGTGCTGCTCAAGCAGCAGTGCGGTGTCCCTGTTCTTCTGCCTCACTGGGAAGTGAGACTGCCAGCTCTCGCCTTGAAGTGAGCGTGGAACTGTCCCGCTCGACATGCCGGAGAAAACAGTTGTGGGCAGACAGCCAAAAGCTTGGGGGAGAAAAAAGGAAAGGGGCAGGGGAGGAAAGGGCTACAAATAGGAGGACAACGTGCTGGACAAAACGAATGGAAATGAGTCAGAAGTAGTTGGTTGGGATTACAGGGTCAGTGAGGAAGAGGCTGCAGTCCCTGAGAACGGCTGTGGTGGTGCACATCTGCTTTCCCCCTCCGGTGCTTGTTTTACTCTGTTGCTGTTACTACTCCTGCAGTTCTGAACGTCTCCGAGTGCCCTGTGTTCACTCACTGATCTCAACCACTCGTCCTGAATTAGTATTTATTGTTTGGTGCAAGAGCTCAAACTCTTCTTCAGTTGCTCTTCCTACCCTGGGAACGACTTTGCAGTACAGGAGAGGAGCTCTTCCAAAAAAAAAAAGTCAAGATACTGCTTGCCCCACCACTGAATGGTTATCTTATTTGATAAAGGATACATTTTGAAATTAAGGGAAACTCTTCAGCCATAGATGGGGCGGCTCTTAGAGAGTGGAAAGCTTGGCTCCGATGACTCCATCACCAAGGTGATTTTGGTCTGTGCTTTATAAAAAAAAATAAAAACTGTGCTGTTGAAAATTGAAATTTGGATGCTTATTGTCCTGGTTGAAACTTGAGGAAGATTAAGGAGAGTTAGTAGCTGGTAGCACATCTCTAAGGAACCTGAAGGTGCTAGTGGAAGTGGTGTTGACTGATCTCCTAGCAAAGCACAAAATACACCCTGTAAGGAGTAGCTTTGGTCAGTGGAATTCTTCCTGCTGCTTACTCCGTGCTTTCCACGGTGCGGCAGGTGGCTGTGGGAGATTAACGCTGTGAGAGGTGACTGGATAGGGAGTTCTGTCCTTCCGCTTGTGCTGATCAGAGCTGAGGAGCTGATCCCTGTCAGGGTAGCTCAAGTGATCTGCACGTGTGCAGTGTCGCAATGACATCGCTCCAGGTAGCGCTTTGGGAGCTGTGGGTGTGATGGGCCTCTTGAATGGAACCACCAGCCTGAGCGCGGTGATGTAATTTAATAAGGTCAAACCCCTAGGATATACGGAGGCAATAAACAACTGAGGGTGCGAAGTGACAAGAACAGCTCTTGCAGGTCTGGGCTAATCACCCTGCTAACAAGTTCCAGCATGAGGGCAGCTGGGTTCTACGCTCCGAAAATCAGGGGGGAGAGGGAGCACGCTGCAATCTTCCCGGGACTCTGTGGAGCAGCTCAGCCCTTGTAACCTTCTGAACTGCAAAACCGATCTCCAGGCACATCTTGTCAGCGATCCCATAGAGCGCAACGTGCTGCCCTGCCTCTAAAGCGATGCCCTTGTGGGACGTTCGTGTCGCACGTCGCTGCTCGTTACACAAATGAGATGTGACAGTTGCCCGCTGAAGCTCCTGGAGGACTCGCTGTGGGACATTTCCACTGGTCTTGTAACAGGCGGCGTTTTGTCTCTTGCATCACGAGGTCGCCGTAATTGTTCCGAAGCAGCTGGTGTGCCTGTGCGTAGCGGTGCGACGGGGTCTTCCAGGGCACAGGCGTGCAACTGTGGGTTGTAGGTGCGCGCTGTCCTTAGCTGACCTGAGTTTAGAGCGGCTGCCAAAGGCCAAGATGCTCGGCCCTTCTGAAAATTAGCAGGTTTGCAGTAAAGCGCTGTCCTCTCTGCAGACGACCGATAGCTACTAGTTTGTAAAGATTACGAAGTTTTTATTTTAATGCCAATTACGTAAACTTGGTGTCTTGTGTCTTTCAGATTCCTCTTGTGGCACTTCCAGAATAAGCTGTAAAACTGAAGGCATTGCAGTGACTATCGGATGTTAACCTTTCCTTTAATGACCTAAGCTTAGACATCTAGGCCTATAAATGCTTTTTATAGGTGTTTAAAACAGGGTTTGACATTTGTGACCACTATGGGGTTATTTAAAAAGAAATAAAAACAAAAAACAATAAAACCTCTTGCATCTAACACTTGAATGGGGCTAATCAGGGGTGGTTTCAAAGAAGCCTTTGTAGGAATTCTAGGACTTCAGAAATAAAAGTGTAAGTAGAACAGAATTTTAGATTGTCCTAGAATTTTCCATATTTTTGTACCTGTTCATTGAGTCGGTGGAGTAAAATGGAAATAGAAATATTACAAGCTCAGTTAAAAGGAAGTAAGGTCGGAGAAGGATGAAAAGCAAAGCTAAATTTAATGCCCCTCAAGTAACTGCTTTATCAGTTCAGCGCTATCCCTTTCATTTCTCTGAGAGCAGAGTTCAGGTGGTAGAGGAGGTGGAGTAAAGTCCTGAAAAAGAGAACTGTTTTGTGTCTTTGTATTAAATGGTAACAACATTGTTAAATAAACTAAGATTTTTTTGTATCTCACAACCAACTGTGGTGCAGCTCTGGGTCCTTTACTTCAGCAAGCGGCTGGCAGCTCCGAGTGGACGTGCCTTGAGTTTTAGCGCCCTCGTCTATAACAAAAAAAGTCCGCTGAAGCCATTTTCATTGTTTACCTGGATGTGAGAATAAAAGGGCAGAACATTTGCAGAGCGCGCCTGTAAGACAGAATTAGCCTTCTCTCTTCTACAAGAATGTCTTTCCTACCCCCTTTGTGTGCATATGTATATCTATTTATGTAAATGTATGCATGTTTTTGTTAGGGATACAGAGTAACAAAGGAGGGGACCGTGATGCTGGGGTTTGGAAAAATCTCCTGGTGAGGGTTTGGGACAGCGAAGGAATACTTAAACTCTACCAAACACCATAGTTTAGAAAAGAAAGCTCACGTGATTCTAAATCACCGTTCATCATTAAAACAGACTGGTTTGAGGTTTTTTTTTTTTTTTTTGGGTGCAAATTTTAGTTGTCGGAGGGTGGTCTTTCTGTTGTTTTTCATCTTAAACTGCAGACTGCCTGTCTCATACCCTGGCAGCTGGGACCCGCTCCCCTCAGGGTCAGGGTTTAGTGGTGGGATGGCAGGGTGAGGGTAAGGGTTGGGCTTGATGAGCTTAAAGGGCTTTTCCAACCTAAACCATTCCATGAACTCCAGAGGAAGAATTTGTTTTGTCCTAACGCAGAGCTCCAAATCAAGAGAGCAAGATTAATTCTGGTCAGGCAGAAACAAACCTGGATGAGGCCTGAAGAAGCCAGAAATGTCTTGTGTGGATTGAGAAGTTTTGTTTTTAATACAACTTTGTATTTAAGCTATGTGTAAATGTTCTGGGAACACTTATACTTCACAAGCATTCATTACTGTGAATGTAAAATACTGATTTTTGTCTGCACTACCCAACCCAGTTAAATTCTTCAGTTCCTAACGGTTTCGGTTTTCACTACTGCTACTTTTTTTTTTTTTGCCTTGATTTAGTCAATTTGAGGCCTGTCCATTTCTTTTGTTATGCCAGAATAAACAATGTAGACCTACAGAAGTCAGCTCTGACCTCCTTGCTTTATGGATTTTGGTTTTGGCAGGCTGTTGAAAACGACGTGGAAGTAGGGCCTCTGATCCAACAAATCTTGGCTGCCCGTAGGTTTGTATCTGTGCTTTCTCTTTTTCCCTGGCCACCTATTTTTATGCTCCTGGAGGTTTATTTTTGAGACCTTTACCCTGTGGGCCTTGTGGGCTCAAAGGTGACATGCAAATCAATTCATTAGGTAAGGCTCTGTAAGAAATGAGGCTAAAAACTGGGCTTTACACCAGTAAAGGCAAAGTCCCAAGGAGAAAAAAAAAATCTAAAAGGGACGGATCACTTTAAAAATCAGTAAAAGGGATAAAAAGCAAGAAAGTGACAGGTAGAACCTTCCCAAAGCATGTTTTAGAAGCAGCACATGGTATAAAAGTACATGTTTTGCAGAGGTCTCACGCATTGGATTGCTGTTCCAGCAGCTCTCCGTGGCCCCGCTATAAATAAGCGGATGAACGTAAAGCCAGCTAAAGGCCCGCATCTGGTCAGGCTCACGGTGGGGTGGGGCGTAGTCCTTGCCGTGAAGAGTTTTACCAAAGAGAAGTTAGCTTTAGTAGGCCTGCTCACACCAGCATCAAAGAGCTGCTGAACGATAACCCGGCACTTCTAGTTCTCTTCCGTCTATTGGCGGGCTACTTTTTTATTTTAATGACTGAATACGCAGTCACGGGTAAGATTTTTTTCTCTGAAAAGCACATTCCAACAGTAGGTTTCATTTTGCAATGTAATCTTAAAGGTACCTTGGAAAATTAAAACGAGGAAAAGATTTTTATTGCAACAGTATGAAATTACATGAAAATATTTACTTCCCGAATTCTTGCAAAAAAAAGAGCTGACAACAGTAGCTGCTTAAGACTCGGTTCATAATTTTACTGTGAAAACCCCCGATTCCCTCCCTTTCTCTTAGACTATGGTCTGCCAGGTGACTTGGGTTGAGGGGCCTACTACTGAGATCTTTGTAGAACTTGTTAACCATCTCGCCTTTCAAACCCAGTGCCAGTAAAGCGAAAAACTGAATTAGATCTTAAATTTGAAAAGTGTATTTTGGTATGTATAAAAATTCAGAGGCACCCAGGAGAAGAAACTCAGGAGAAGAAACCGAACTTCAGAGGATGGTCCCTGTCGGTGCTCTTCACCTCAGCTACTGCTATAAAGGGCATGTTTGTGCCACTTTGGGTACGCAGCTTTCCTGTGGTTTTAGCTCTGTTATTTATTCTCTTACATTGCAAATTCATTTATTTCCAGAAAAACATCTGGTAAGAGTTACATAAAATCAAGAACAAATCAAGTTCTGCGTGATTTATCCCTACATACTCTGTCAGTTTTACTATGTGAAGAGGCAGTGGTAATCTTGGATATAGGTTTTGGGTTTTTTTTTTTTTGCTTAAAATGCACTCTTATGTGTGTGTCTACAGAATTTTATGGTACTTTATTACCACTTTCCAACCAAGACAAACTACTCAGTGGGCTATACTGAGACAGGATGGGGCAGAGCCTCTGGAAAGGAAGCGAGGGGTTACTTACCTGCGCTCGGGTATTATTAAAACAATGCTGGTCCTACAGATTTTTACACTTTTGGTGTAGGGTACCTCTAGAACAGAGCTGTAGAGACTCTTCTAGGGAGCAGTGGAGCCTTTCTTCCTCTCGGAGGTACGTATATTCCAAGTAGGAAGATGATGAGGTCACTATAAAGAATGAAATCTTCAGCTCCTTTTTTGCAGGTACCTTCTATGGGAAGAAATCCAATAAAATCAAACCTTGAAAGGACTGGGTGTTTCTCTAAAATTAGTTTTGCATGCTGTTGTAATAAAGGTCAGCAAACGGCACTTATGGCTAAAGTGACAAAGTTGCGATGTTTTAACAGTCCTTCACATTCATATGGCTTAACTGAAAACGTCGGCAGATATTCTCAAAATCCCAATATGCTATTACAAAATAAGTATTTGAATACAAAGTGTTAAGTCAAATATTTCAAACGCGAAATCTGAAAATACAACTGAAAGGTGGCGTGGAGGTTGACATCAACAGTTTTCTGAAAGCTTCACGTTTGCAGATGTTGAAAGTATATTTTAACGTAGTACTGCTAGATTTCAGAATTGGATGTCTCAGGAGATCCGAGGAAGGATTTCATCCCATATGAAAGCCACAAGTATTGTACCTGAAAAGAGAAATTGCAGAAAGGACCTTTATTTAAATGTATTTGGACTTTTTTGGGGATTAGTGTATTTGTAACCCTGTATGTCCCTAGTCTGAGTTCCAGCTGGGCTTTGACATTCCTGATTTTGTTCCAAAGTACATGCGCAAAGTCTTTCTACTCCTCCTTTGCTGCCTGTCCCTGTTTCAACTTTGTATGTGCTCTCCTTTGTTCATAGCGAAGTGTCTTGTGTAGCCAGCAGGGAAAGGCTTTGTGTCACAATTCCCTGCCTAACTACAAGACAGATTGTTCCTGCACATCAAAATGTGTCACTGAGCTCTCACTAAGCTTTTTTGAAAAAAATCACCTTTCCATGGGATACTTCCGCCATTTGTGGCAGCTTCTGAGGGAGTTACTACTGACCTAGCAATTCCCTAAATAAGCAGAATTTTGTTCTCCTGAAGTCCAAAGCCCAAACAACTCTGCTATTTACCTTCCCAGTCTTCCTCTGGACCCTGAACTCTTGTGGCCACATTCACCACCCGTTCTTCCCTGTTTGTGAACAGGTCAAGTACAGATTACCACTCACTGGCCCTTCAGTATTTGAATTAGACTCAATTAGTGACAGTTTCCTAGGAACTTCCTGGATTGCATTCACTCACTGCCTAAGAGTCTTGCTCTGTCAGATGATGTCTGCATAGCTGAAAACCCCTAGGAGGACGAGGGTCTGGGAGTAGGAGACTTGTGCTGGTTATTTGTTGAAACCCTTCTTTTTCTACCAAGATGCTGATCGCTTCACTGCACATGGACTTGCAATTCTTGTTTCTTTGCTAGGCTTGATGCTTAAATATCCTGAACTTGATGGAAACTTCTGAATACCCTCTCTGAGCAGAAGGGTGAAAGTTTCACCTGTAGCCTTCTGGCCTTGCTTACCTCCTCCATTTATGTCTACTGCTAAGCAACTTCTGTGGCACTTATCCTGATGGTGAAAAAACATTTTCCTTTAAGGAACAGTATTAGCCTTTCTGGTAAAACTGATCTAAAGAAGTGGGCATTGATTCTGTTTTTATAGCATTATAAAACTAGGAGGATGCTGAGCTGGCCCCTATCCAGGAACGAGCATCCCCTTTTATTTGCCCTCAGGCCCAGTACCTTGTCACCAACTCTTCCATTCACAGCTGCCATCTCCCTGGTGCTGAAAGAGAAGCATTAGCTCGGTCCCCATCATTACTAATGGTATAATCATGCTTGGACAACTAACATGAATTTCTTTGGCAGTAAAACAGAAACTATCTTTGTTCCACTGGTACTTACTGCTTCTATGTTCAGCTTGCAGAATTCAGGCCTGCCTATGCTAAGTCATAAACACTTGCTGACATCTGTATTTACTACAGGAATTAGCTGGTTTAATGCTACTGGAGAATTACCCTCACCAGAACATCAGTGAAGCAGTTTTTAAAAATTAGTTCCTAACTACAGTTCCAAGATTATATTCATGAGAGACCATAAACCACTAGTAGGTTTGTTTATCCTAAAAGAAAACTTCCACTTCCTCCTCCTCTTGTCAAGGTGATAATCAATCTTCCTCTTGTTTTAAGTGTCCTTTCTAAGAAAATTGTTTTAAAGCTGACAGTCAAGAACTTGCTTATGGCTGGATTGGGGTATCTGTCATATACTGAATGGTCTCGGTCTCCTTGAGATCACACTGCACTTTGCACAGGCAATTTGAAGTTTCATGGTCTGCTAGTCCATGGTTCTGCATATGGTAGTTATTACAGCAAGTCGCAAAAAAACCTAAGAGGATCCTAAAAGAACTCCCCAAAATAACAACAAAGTAATTTAACCACCTAAGAAGCTGATGCTGGGAAAAGTGAGACATCAAATTAGCACATTACTATGACTCTGCCAGTTTCTAGGAAGTCTGAAACAGTGTTTCTGCTGACACATGGATTCTGAAAGTAATTTTTACAACTAAATTTAAAACATCCCTCCCCTCATTATCTACTTTTATGATTCTGCTAAGAGGTTCTTTTCACAAGATTTTTTTTTTATCATCGTTTAACAGGTCATTTTCCTAGACACTTCATCGTTTGGTCCAATTTTGGAATAAAAAATTCTATTCCTATTATTTTCTTATTCTCAAAAAGTATCAGAAAAAATAATTTCATGTTAGATTTGTAAATCTGCACTCCTGCATTCATCAATTCAGTTTTCAAATATAACTATCCCTCTATACTTTTCCTCAGATACCTTACATTTGTTTACAAGTCTTGGTTTCTAAGATATGGTCTAAATGTATCCACGAAGCTTCCTTGTTTTGTAATGAGATATTTATATTACCAATAACCTACTTGGCCCTTCAGGGGATCCAGACCTGAATCTGTAACAAAATGTTTGGCTGCAGTAGCGACGCTGCACAAAAAGTGATGTATCCTGAGTATTCACGTCTTTACAACTGCTTGGTCCCTCATAAATTAAGAGACAGTATTCAGTACATTCTGTATGTATTTTCTATATGTTAACCAACAATAAACCAACCACTGTTTATGGATTTTCACAGAAATGTAACATTACTCCCTAACTGCATTCTAAATTCCTCAAGTCATGGTTCCATTTGAGTTAACATCTGCTGATTTTCTTACTCAAGTCGAAATCACCTGAAGGCTTTCTGCAGAGCAGTTCTGCAGCATACATCACATCTTGCTAAATAAGCAGAACACGGTGTTTCAGAATGCCTCCTGTTTCTTCAGATCACTTGCCAAAATACTAAATCCCAAGTTATTATAACCCAGAAAATCTCAAAATGGTTATCAGGTTGAAATCAGTTAATATACCAGAAAGCTAAACCTGAATTCTGAGAAATATCATGTGTTCCATTAGGATCCAGGTGATGCTCATCAGCTTTGCCCAAGACATTTCATGAGCTACTATCTGGAGCAGGGCATGGGCTTTTATCAAGCTCACTCTGTTGTTCAGTATCCCATTTGGATGTCTAATTTAAAAAAATAATATTAAAGTGGATTTTAGTTGGACTAAAAATTCTGTCTCCATTTTTGACTGCCAGAGAGTCAATGCAAGTAAAGCATGCAGAGACATGAACTCAAACAAGAAAAACATTTTTTGTCATAACTGCAGCCCTTTGAGACGTCTCCTGGGTATGTTTCACGTACTGTTGTACCTTCATCACTCTTGTACCTTCTAACAGGATTAACAGTCATGAAAGAACTCGGGATTAGCAGACTGCTTCTTTATATACCCTCTGAGCAGAAAGCTCAAGATTTGTAAGGACTGACTGCGAACAATCAATGGCATGAAGTATTACAATGGAGCATAGAAGTTAAAATCAACACCTTCCAAATTAAAATGGTAATTTAAGTTGGAAAAAATTCAGTTACTAATATTGCTTATCCTTAAACTAAGAACAGATTGTTTCCAACAGTGATTGGGGGCCAAAACACAGAATGGGAACTGCAAAGTTTAGACATGATGGAGATGAAAAAGATTTGATATTACGAAAGTAATAATTGAGAAAACATATTTTAAGCACTTGTCCTAATACCTGTGGTTTGGTTTTTTGGTTTTGGGTTTTTTTAATCAAGCATCCCCATGTCCTTGCATACTGTCACAAAGCGAGACTAACCAGTATGCGTCTCTTTTTGAAGTTAATTGGGCTAATATTTACTTCCAGGTAGCCTCTTCTCCTTTTTAGTATTCTGCTAGAATCTACAAACAGGCCTTTGGTCAGTGTGAGAATTTGCAGCATACCTCAAACAGGCTGGATTTTAATACCAAGGCATAAAGTCTCAAACAATAGGCAGCTTTGAAAGGATCCAGAGTAAACAGCTGCTGGTTTATAACTAACTAGTTAACCCTCACCTAAACACTAACCTTTTTCTATTTAGAATTGTGCTGTTGTGGTTTTTTAGTAGGTGCATTTTCTTGCTCAAACTACCCCAAAAGTACTTAGACTTTGAACATGACATCTAAACTAAACAATTCTAAAACCTAATACGGTTGTTTCTTAAAATAAACTGGTCAAAAGAGTAGATATTATTTTGTGAATAACACTGGTGTTTAAAACTAAGCATTAGATGCTTGATTCACAAGAGTGTCACAGGTGCCCTACACAGAGCATTAAACAAGTTTAAAATACACAACCTACATTTGCAAAATGAACCCATGATTCTGAATGACTGCTACACATATGTTACAACCGACTATTTTCTGGATTTTATTTACAGCAGAAAATGAGCAGACTATCAAATAAAGAATAACTATTTTCTGATTTTTGAACCGTGTACTAAATAACACTTTCTCAAATACATAAAGTATTAAAAACTTACCTAAGGATGGTGCTATCCAATATACCAGTGAGTAACTCAAAAATTTGTCATAGAAACAATTTGCATGTAATGAAAAAGCCAGTGCTGGGTTAAATATTGCTCCTGTGAGATTTCCACCTGCAATAAAATGTAAACAATATGAAATCGACCCATCTTTTGTAATATTTACTTTAAATTAATATTGAAATGAACATACAGAATGCCACAAGGAATGCACAGCCTGCAATAAAATGAATTAGCAGAAACCATTTGAACAGATAGACTCTTCTGACGTTATTTACCTGATGATATGTTTAACAGTTTTCTAAAATGCCTTAAAATATCTGAAGTACAGGCTATAACCTCCTTTATCTCTTTCTAGCAAATACTCTTTGAAGAGGTGGGTTTGGCTAATGTTGAATGTTTCTATTGATAAAGCTGGAAGCTGTTTTACTAATAGTCTGTATCACGCTTCTAGAAGAGACAGAAATTACACAAATATTAGTAAACAAATACTGAGCTTTCATTACATCCCCATGTCACATGCAACACATAGGCAAGACAATGGAAAAAACTGTCAAGTGCTGTTCTTGCTGACCTCTGTACTTTCTTATTAGAACACTGATATTACCATATTAATTTATAGAACACTAAGGTTATCATATGGTAATAACTTGGGGAAAAGCCTTCACAATCATTCTATATGTTGTTTGAAGAAAATAAAAGCAAACGCCACTCCACTCTCTTGAAAAAGGAAGCTTAAATAAGCCAAGTGTCTTTCCTTGCCTCTGACTTCAGGTGTAAATGAAGCTGCCTAAACATTCTCAAAGTAACTTGATTGGAACATATTACATTTTGGAGTCTAAACTATAATTACACTGCAGATGAACCTGGAGGTAAGTGGTTTTAGTTCTGACATATGTTGTTCCTCTCATTGCAATCCTGCAGAAAAAATATTACTCATAGCAAAATTTGCTGTATTTCTATTACTTACTAACCACCCCATATCTGTTCTATCTATTAATATATTCCCATAAAATAGCATATAATTGTGTCTATTTAGTTTCTTAAAGCTTATTCTTGATTTTTCCCAAATAAGCTAGTATGAGCTTTGAATTCATCCTTTGTACAACAAATACCATGCTACTGTAATCCTCATTTGTTAGGAGCATGCAATCATTTACCCGAAGTTTTAGTAAGGTCTTTGTCATTCCCCTGTATTTCTCTTTCTATATACTCTTTATTTCTTTTACCATTATTACAGTTCAGGAAGGTTTTAATCTTTGTTGACCTACTCAGTTTTAGTCTGGTTTTACACTGTTCTCAGCAGCAACTCAGATTTACCGTGCAGTCTGTTACCCTGCACGCTGACACATTAACAACTTCCACTGTTGCCAGGAAGGCCATCTACAATAATTTACTTTGCTTTAATCTATTTAGGAATTCACTGCTTCTGTGTTTATATCCACAAACACACATTGAAGAGTAGACTTTCGCTCTCAGTAGGCAGTTGTTGTTTCTGAACATAAACATTAGAGCTTTAACTGCTGTGTTTTCTTCACTATTCATTACTAATAACTACTGGAATATCACCCATAGGCCAGGGCCACTAGTATAATCTTATTTTAAAACATTTATTAAACATCTCAGTCTTGTGTACCAGAAAAGAGAAATGATATTATGGCAAAAGAAGCGTACTTTTGCTGTAAGATCTTTGCTGTTGTACACATAAAAACTTAAAAAGGTAAAGTAATGCGTGCTCTACACAGTGCGTGAGAAAGTAATTTTAACTTTTGAAACTACTAAAGGCAAAACCAAAATAAGGAAGAAATTTGGAATTAAAAATACGTATGTCATTTTTACCTTGATATGTTAGGCTCAGAAACATCTAATCAATTCCATACAATTCTGACTTCATTGTAATGTTGCCTATAAATGAAAAAGCCCTCAAAAAGTGTATTTTTCTTCTTCTAATTAAATATTTTCCCAAATGAAATATCCAGAAATATTATTTATCAACATGTGTCCTTCTCTGGAGATATTCAAAGCCCACCTGGATGAAGTCCTGTGTAACATGCCCTAGGTGAACCTGCTTTAGCAGGGGGGTTGGACTGGATGATCTCCTGAGGTCCCTTCCAACCCTTGCCATTCTGTGATGTGTATGGTCTGCATCCTTAGCTTCTGAATCATTCCCTTAATATGCAAAGACATATTCTCTTTTTAATTCCATTCAGTAGAAGAAATAGTGAATGCGGCATTGGAGCTTATATGTAAAAAATTTGTGTAGAAATTTGGTCTGTGTAAGTCTATATGTAAAAAAATCCAAGTATCTTTAACTATGAAAAAGTAGAAGAAAAACTGAAGGGACAGCTTGTAATTTTTGAAAATACTTACTGTATAACCTGATGTTATTTGTTGCAGTAAGTTGCATGGCATACTTAAGTACCTTTTATGGGTACACACAACAGTGACTTATCAAAATTGATTTTAACTTAACTTAGTCAACCATATAAACATAATTTAATGCTTTTGAGCCCTGTATGTGTATCGATACATTTAGATGGGTGTAAGCCACGGGAATATGGCTATCCTTCAAAATTCTACCCAAACCAGATTTGATATGGAGTAAGAGAGAGTCCTTCTTGCAGTTCTTTTTCAGACCGCAATCGTTCCTCTTGCAGGATACAGCTTTCAAATATATAGCTGAACATCATTTAAGCTGAACATGATTTATGGAATGCATTATGATGTGCTATATAGGAGATGTGTTTCCTAACATTTCTGGTTCTTTCATAACTGTAATAAACCCGGATCCTGAAGGCACCGTTGATTTGGTTTTTAAAATCAGAGTGTAAAAAGAAATCATTAGCATGAATTTTATTTTGTAAATTTAATGCACCTTTCTGAGTTCCTAGCTAGAACACTGTATCTCTCAAATTAAAGTCTGAAAAATCGTTAGTCATATGATATTCTAAACTATTTCCTATTTTTGTAGGAAAAAGGAAGAGTGTTACCAGTTTGCCTAAATTAGCATTGCTTTGCCTAAATTTGTGCTGGTTGCCTAGCCCGTTGGTGCTGGCTGACCAAGAAAGATTCATTCCTCTTAAAGAAATGCTCAAGTTCCTTATAAACAGTTAAAGAAGAGGGGCAGGAGATTTCCTAAGAATGATCCAGCCCAGCTAAGTTAAGCATCTGCTGCTCTTCAAAGCCTGTAGATGAGAACTTGGCCTGCTGGAGGCCACTGTAACACCCAAATTGGAAGTCGCTCTTCCTACTGCCTGTAAGAAGCACCACTTCTCAAACCGGAGGTGGAAGAGACACGGCTGGGGCTACGCCACGAGACCCACGGGATGTACTGTAGGTCATATATGTGCACCAGCCACAGGTCGTGGCCACCTTCCAGGCCCTTGGCTATTGCCTCAGCTACTCGGTGTGCCGTCAGGAGGCCGCACCGAGTGGCGGTGGGAAGGGGGTCCCAATCAGCAGCCTTCAATGTGGAGAGGACAGGAGAATGGCGGATATCTTGGGGAACGTTTGTGTGTATCACAGAATCATAGAATGTTTTGGGTTGGAAGGGACCCCTAGAGGTCACCCAGCCCAACCCCCCTGCAGGAGCAGGGACACCGCTAACTAGATCAGGCTGCTCAGAGCCCCGTCCAACCTGATCTTGAATGTTCCCAGGGATGGGGCCTCCACCACCTCTCTGGGCAACCTGTTCCAGTGTTTCACCACCCTCATTGTAAAGAACTTCTTCCTTACATCTAGTCTAAACCTACCCTGGTTTAGTTTAAAACCACCTCTAAGGTGCCCTCCATGGACCTACCTAACCTTCCACTGGGAAAGTTCTGTTACAGTGCAAGCCTGTGACTTCATTACAGAAAGAAATTAATAGCAGCAGCCTGCTCCCACACTAGTTGTGTAACAGCTCGGCGATAGGAATCTTGGGGTTTATGCCCTCCTCTGCTTCGGGAGGGGATAAAACTAGGTTCAGGATCTGCTCTCTGGAATGCATATATATTTTTATAGTAGACTTATTCTAGATTAAAAGAAATGGAAAGAAAAATGTCCAGGTAAGCACAGGGTGTTCTGCACAAGATACAGGCAAGCTGTGCATGTGAAAGATGTCTGGGCGCAGCAGGTCTGACGTTCCCTAGAAGCACACGCAGATCGATTGCACTGGGTAGTCGTAACAAGTCCAAGTTCAGGACAAGGAAGGGGACTTGGTACACAGGCTTCTCCTGCTAGAAAAAGATATGAGGCCAGCCTGGCCAGCGACCCTGGGCATGGGTTCTTTGTATGAACTAGCAAAAAGAAAGGCAATGTGACACCTATTATTTATATGACTATTTGCTAAGCAGGAAAGGAATGTTAAGCATCAGGAATCCAGCTTTCTATGCTTGTGGAAGAGGTAGGATAATCTTTGGCTACACTTTTACTGAGCAATTCAGAAATACATGTAATGTGCTAAAATGTACTGACACCTTGCCTCTCCCTTCAAAAAGTAATTTTAGAAAGTAGTTCAAATTGCTAAGTTAATTCTCAGAATTCTCCATGGGCTTATTTTAATCTTTCAGGTATTAGCTAATTTCAGCTAAACATAATGAGTAAAGGTTTTTTCATTAATACATCTGAAAATTCAACTGTATTTTATTCTGCTAAATGCTATTATGTTAGCATAATACAGTTAAACCTTTTGGGCAAGATGCCAATGACATTCCAGATATTTGCGGATAAAAGAGTGATCTCCCTCTCTCATAAACGGGCACTTCCCTAGATGGCTTCCTCTGTGGTGGGGGCTGTAGCACAAGCAAGGAAATCTGTAACCATCTCTCTCTCACCTCCCTGCACCCCAAACTACAGAATCTCCTTCCCAGCACAACCCACTTCCTGCAGGACAGTCCCTCAAGTGACAAGTGACATAACGCTGGCACTTCACTGGGTATGGCACTTCACTGGGTATGGCACTTCACTGGGTATGGCACTTCACTGGGGACAACAGCAAGCATCAACAGTCAGCAGAAAGAAGTTCTGACTGACTCCCCTCACCTCTTCCCCCCTGTCGGTCCAGAGAGGCTGCTGTGCAGGTGACAATGCCCCAGCTCTGGGAAGCATGAGGTGACAGGCAGGGGCAAGGACATGGACACACGGCATTACAGAGACAGGAGACTCTTGTCAATGTCACGACACAACAGGCACTTAATTTTTTTCTTTTTTTACATTTGGTTTCATGAGGTATTATGTTATCATTTCTGCAGGCATTCTGCAAATCCCTGCTTCTGATTTAACGTAGTTAAATAAACTGCACTGATATGAATTATGCATTATTCAAATGCCCAACTTCCATATTACCGGTCTGTACCCTGCCCTTGCACAATCAGCGGTTTTTCCTGATGCAGACAGCGGTGCTCTTGCAATGCCACTTAAGAAATCAAAGCACATTGTATGAAATCTCTTGCGCTATATAAAGTCAGATTACAAAATGATCCTTCACTGAGATATCTTAACAGTATTCCGTGAAACTCTTAATGCTATTCACTCGTAGACGTGACATAATTTTAAATTCATAACTCATTTCATTCTTAACCCCACACCTGCCTGGAATCTAACCAGGCAAACTTTATATAAACTCCAAATGAACTCTGTGTATGTAGTACCAAAGACTTTCCTTGATGCGTTTTTTTGTACTCTAAGAAAAATAATTTTGCATCTTAACACTTTTAAGAAAATAAAAAAGCCTCCCACTTCTCTTACAAATTTACTGCAGGAAGAGATTAAAAAAAAAAAAAAAAAGACTAACCTGCATACACGAGCATGGTGATGAGAAGAGCAATCAAATGGACTTTGTATTTGGGATTAACACTTTCTGCTCGCAGGACGGTCAGCTGGAAAACGACGGAAAAGAGCAGTTCTATGCAGAATGCCTGCACCTCCGTAGTCTGCATGGGGTTGCTGCAGCCCTGGGAGGGTGCTCCAAAATGTGCCTCTGCCATCTCCAGGCTCCAGATAAAGCGCATAAACATTCTGGCAAGCGCTGCAGCCACGAACTGAGCACCGATCTTGAGTCCACCCATCCTGACCGATAACCCACCGCCCCACATGGGCTGCAAGGTGCCACAGGGATTGCATGTGCTGCCAGTCAGAGTCAAGCCGTGCAGGACGGTGAAACCGTAGGTGAGAGTCAGGGCGGTATGTGGCTTGGGCTCCACATTGCCGAGCAGGCAGAGCTCGTTCGTGCAGGCGCAAATCTGGAAGGTGCTAAACATCTCCAAAAGAAAAGTGCAAAGGCGCTGGTGGGAGCGCAGCCGGCGGCGGGTTACTCTCCTGCACAGCCCCACCGCTCCCATGATGCCGGCCATCAGCAGCAGCGAGGTCCCGACCCCACCGCCAGCCATGGCGGGAGTTTCACAGGCCGAAGGACTCGGAGAGGAGTTCACCCTGGTCCAGCCCCACCACCTATATGGGGAGAAAGAGAGCGGGAGAGGGAGAGAAAATGACCACCCTTTCCCTTCGAGGCAGGAGCCAGCTTCTTTCCCCACCTGCTTGCAGCCTGCCAGGCGTCTGACTCACCCTCCGCTTGACGGGGAGCAAAGGGCAGCGGCGCCCGGCTGGGCAGGGGTGCGGGCAGGGGGATCCCTCTCCCCTCCAGGGATGGGTTTCAGAGAAGGAAGCTCTCTCCCTGCGGTGGGAAAGAGGCACGGGGGCGGCGGGGGAAGAAGGGGGCTTTGCTCTCCCTCAGCCCCTCACGCTGACGGAGCTCCCCTCAGCCC